TTCCAACGGTTTCCTGCCCACTGGCAGTATATCTGTTCGATCGCGGTTTCGCCGATGTCGTCCGATTCTCCTTAACTCCGATATCTCACTCCGCTCCGGTTACTCCGAAAAACCAACGGTCCTGTCACTCCCGACGTCAGCGCCTCGCATTGGCAATCAGCCCACCATCTGACGTGATTTTCTTATAATCTATATAGATCGCTCGCATGTGACAATGGCGCTAACGCCTACAGCTCGGCCAGCCTGACCTGAAGTTCGTCCCGAACCTTCCTTTATTTAAATCATCATTGATTTCGTCATTAATTTAACTTTATTTTATTTAAACCATACGTTTACCGACGGATTTTAACCTTAATTTCCAATAGGTTCATCTGAGAGATTCCGAATTCGTATCCATGGTTTAATTTTGTCTGAAGATAAAATCGTATTTAAGGGTTTCTGAGATAAATTATACCTTGGCACATCTACAACCACGTACCGATTCTTGTTTAATACCTTCTGGATTTGATACGGTCCTCGAAATCTGGGTAACAACTTTTTATTCACCCCCGGCTTATATTGGAAAATCCGATTAATGACTAGATCTCCTTCTTTATATTGTGTCGGTCGTTTATGTTGCAGATCGTATTTTAACTTGTTATATTCTTGTACTGCCCGGTTAGCTAGCTTAGCGGAATCTCTCAAATCATCCCGTTGTTTACATATATCTTCATCTATCTGGGTTAGCGTCTCAATTAGTTCGCATAACTCCTTATCCTGCCCGTTTCGCAGATTATACCCAAGCATCATCTTACTTGGGGTAGTATTGATCGATCGGTGAAAAGTGTTATTTACAATTCTTTGAGCCGTGTATAAAGCCGTAGCCCACGTATTCGGCTGCTCGGTCACCTTGGCCAAAGTCGATTTTAAAAACCTATTTACCCGCTCCACTTGCCCGTTCGCCCATGGAGAGGCGACCGCTATTTGCACATGTCGAATATTATTTTTGCTTACAAACTCTTCAAAATAGTTTGAGGTGAACGCAGTTCCTCGGTCGCTAACCATTTTCTCGGGTACGCCAAATATCGCGAACAGCGAGGTCAAATGTTTGTTTCCTTAATTGTTTCCTCAGTTGTCGTGGACTTACAAGGGTACAGCCATACAAATTTTGTGTGCGTCCACGACGACTAATACATGCTTATACCCTTCAGGCGTGCGCTCCAACGGTCCAAAATGATTCACGTGAATCATGCTCATCGGGACCTTGCCGCTATCTACTAACTCCATTTCTCCCTCTGCTTTCCCCGCGGCAATCGCGTACCCCAAACAAGTCACACAGTTTTCAATGTACTGTTTCACCCGATGCCTGAGACACGGAAACCAATAATGCGCCAAAATACCCTGAACCGTTTTATCCGCCCCTACATGTCCCATTTCGTCGTGGTATATGCGGATTACGTGATGTATCATACTTTCCGGCACCACAAATAGTTGTTTATCTTGCACATGGCGAAAGAGCAGTCCATCAATCAGCACGAAATATTTATTCTCTTTAAATTCTAGTTCTGTGGCTATCTCTTTTAACTTAGGATCCATCAATTGCTTGTACATTAATTCATCTTCAATATTTAACATGCAAACCGTACCGAAATGCCTACTTAAACAATCCACGTGCATCATCTTACCCGACGCTCGATGCACTAACTCAAACTGGTAATTCTGCAGCATTAAACTCCATCTAGCAATTCGTGGATTTATATTTATTTTTTTCATAGCCAGAACCAAAGAGTTACAATCGGTAACAATTTTGAAATTAATCCCCTGTACATAAATGTGGAACCGCTCAATCGCCTTGACAATAGCCAATGTTTCCAGCTCGAAGCTGTGGTATTTGCTCTCCACTTCTGTAGTAGCCTTGCTAAAATAGGCAATCGGCCTAAGCGCGTTATCCTCTTGCCGCTGAAACAAAATCGCCCCATATCCCAAACTGCTCGCGTCCGTATGTAATTCCGTAATGGCCTTCGGGTTGTACACGCATAATATCGGTGACGATGTCAATTCTCGTTTTAAATTCTCGAACTCGTCAACACAGTTCTCGTCGAACACATAATCCACACCTTTCCTCAACAAATTCTGTAGCGATTTAGTTTTTTGCGCATAGTCCTTAATAAATTTACGAAAATAATTGCACAAACCCAAGAACCCCTGCAATTGTCTTATATTAGTCGGTGGAGGATAATCTATTATAGCACGAATATGTCGGTCACACAAAGTAATACCCCTGCCTGAAATCATGTACCCCAAGTATTCCATCTCTTTTTCCAAAAATAAACACTTTGATATGTTAAGCTCTAACTTATATTTTTTCAGTAGCGTTAATACCTCTTTTAGGATCTCTAGATTCTCGTCCACCGTTTCCGTCGCAATCAGCAGATCATCCATGTACACCAGCACTCTTCCCGCCCGTATCAAATCTCGAAATATACCATTAATTCGCTTCTGGAACTCCGCAGGCGCCTCCGAGAAGCCAAACGGCAGCTTCCGAAATTCGAACTGCCCATTATGGGTAGCGAACGAAAAGTACTTAGTACAGTCCGGATGGATCGCAATTTGATGAAATCCATCTTTAAGATCGAGTTTAGTGAAGATCCGTTTACCGTATAACTGGCTCAACTGATCCTCGATAATCGGGAAAGGATACTTCTGTTGATAGATCCGCTGATTCAACGCTCTCAAATCCACACACATACGCTTACTGCCATTTCGCTTCGTGACCAGAACAACTCTCGAACAGTACGGGGATACACTTGGTTTAATTATTTTACGCATTAGCAAATCGTCGATTATTCTATCAAGCTCGACCTTTTCCGTTACCGACATTCTTCTAGGCGCGTATCTAAACGACTCATCCTTTAAATAGACTTTAGCGCAATACCCGTCCTCCACTGGCTGCACCGCCGCCTTCTCTACCTCCTCGAACACTTCACGCAGCCTGACGGTAACCGAGTGAGGCAGGTCTCTATTCACTTTATTCACGACTGCGTCCGATAATTCTATCTCACTACACATATTGATAGCGAATATTTCCGGTATCTCGTTATCTTGCACGTTTTCGACAGTATAATTTCCCGCTTGATAGACTAGCTTAAGTTTTGCATTATCGAAGAATCCTCGTCCTAACAGCAAATCGTATTTCATTGTACCGTCGCTCACTACCATTAAATCAACCTCGTACCATGACTCACTCAGCCCGTCCAGCAAAACGCGATCACGCACCCTGCCGACCACCGCTATGCTCGAATCGTTCACGCCCCTTAACGCAAAAGCTCTTTCTACCTCGGTTAATTCAATACTCGACATGTGCTCATAATACGCGGATTGTCTAATCAGACTTACGGGGCTTCCAGTGTCTACCAGCGCTCGCAAAATCACCCTCGGGTTAGCCGCCACACGCACGCCAACGCACGCCTCTCCTCCGCTGGTCCACCGTGGGTGGTTAATGTGCAGCGTCTCCGCCGCCGCCTCCTCCAATTCCCCGGCCCCGCTCAGCTCCACCAGGTGACTCGAAGCCGTCGCACCGGTCGCCGTCCCCCGGCCGCCCGCACACCGCGAACTTATGTGCCCCTCCTGTCCACAGCGGTAGCAGATCTGCTTCCTTTCCCGACAGAACCTCGCCAAATGCCAAGGCTTTTTACACACATGGCACAGCATTTCAGTCCGGGCTCCCGCCTCCAAAGGCAGCTGTGCCCCTCGCAAATCTCTAACGCTTCCCGGACGCGCCTCCGCTCGCCTCAGCATGACCGCATCCTCCGTAATCCTTCTCACATGATCCAGAAATTCCGGCACACTCGTGACCCACGTGCTCAAGACCATCTTCCTTAAAATCGGATCCCTCACTCCGTCAGCCAGTAAATCAATTTTCTCCCGCTCGGTCAACGTTAACACCTGCATCATGGTCAATTTCTCTTCTGCGTAATCCACGAACTTTTCCGAGTACGATCTCCAGGTACGCTGTCCCAGCCGCGCCAATGTTGCCGTGTATGACTCCTTTACTTCAAAATGTCGGCGAATCTCGAATTTAAAATTGTCCCATGTCGCCACCGACTCCAACTGCTGTCGGTTATACCACTCAAGGGCGCGACCCTGCAACTGCGAGATCGCCGCCAACACGATCACCTCGTCCCCCAACTGATACAACTGCGATACTCCGGTTATTTGTTCGAGCCACTTCACCACACTTTCCTTCTCCGTACCGGTGAACGTCGGGATCATTTTAGTCGCCACACGAATTTGCTGCCAACTGTTCATGCTCATCTGCGAGCTCGTACTTTCCGCGCCCATCTTCAGGCTGCCCGCCCGCGGCCATCGCGCATCATCTCCTCCAGGCCGTCGCCTGTCCAATACCTCAACTACCGCCTGCACGATAGTCTGCAAATCAAAGCCGCCGATATTCGCGCCCTGTGCACCTCCAACAGGCACATCACCGCGCGAAGGGCCGCGCGAGCCCACCGGCCCCGCACCCGCGTCCCAACACCGTGCCAGGCGGCCGCTCGTCCATCGCTTCCATCGGTTCCACCCCCGCCTCGCTCGTCGGCCGCTCACCTCCTGGTTCTCCAATAAATTCCATCAAGTACCTTTCCTCGGGCCACTCGACTCTCACGAAATGATCCACCAGCCTATCGAATAAGCGCGTCCATGTTCCCGTCGCTCCTATCTTTTCCCGCGCCGCGATCGACCTTAACTGATTTATTTTCAACGGTCTCAACTGCTCCGAATTCATAGGAATTACTGCTCCGCAAACACCAACACACCGACGACCTACGTTCGACTCTGACAAACAATTTTTTCCTTCCACATTCCTTTGCGCGCCGACACCAGATTGGCTCTTTTCGCCACCGTCGATTCGAAATTACTCCACCGGCTTTAGCCGAGATTCTCTCACTTTCTGTTCTCCTTTTTCTCGTCGATTACTCCGCACGTTTACTCACTCGCACGCCCGCAAGGCCTTCCTCGCACCCGGACCTATTCCTCGCCCGCGCCTCTTCCGCGTCTGTGTACACGCAACTCCCGCACATGTGCTATCCTCCCCATGCACGGGCTCGCCGCCAACACGCGAGTCGATCCCACTTCTGATATCTGTAGGCTCCGAGTTTCTTTAAATAACTTGAGATAATTCTCTATTAAATCAGCAACACTTTATTGGAGTTATCCTTTATACAATTTCCAACGGTTTCCTGCCCACTGGCAGTATATCTGTTCGATCGCGGTTTCGCCGATGTCGTCCGATTCTCCTTAACTCCGATATCTCACTCCGCTCCGGTTACTCCGAAAAACCAACGGTCCTGTCACTCCCGACGTCAGCGCCTCGCATTGGCAATCAGCCCGCCATCTGACGTGAATTTCTTATAATCTATATAGATCGCTCGCATGTGACAATGGCGCTAACGCCTACACATGTTACATCATGTTATACTTTCGATCGCAAAATTATTTCGAAAGTTTCGAGAGAGAGCGGAACGCAACGCGTCGCACGCCCGATCCCGCGACGCTCGCGTAGGACTCGTTCACGGACTGAACGCGAAGGAATTACATATTCCATACTCGACGATCGCGAATCTTTAGATCCGGAGGAGAGAGCGCTCCGCGAAGCGCACCGCCCGACACTATCTCTCGTCGTCGCTCGTGCACGCTCGCTCGCTCGGACGGAAGAATCCAATCACACGACTCATCGTACCTCCGGTTGCGACGATGGCAAATTTTTTTTACAAAGTTCCAGAGAAGAGAGCGCGAAACACACGAGACGTACCGTCACGCCTGGTACTATCCATGCGACCGGCGCAGTGGCTCGCTCGCTCGCTCGCGCAACGACGCTTCGTACAGGAATAACATTGTACATACGTACGTTCGACGGTTAGCAAGATCTGGTACGTCAGACGCGAGACGCGTCTCACGAATTGTCGTCGTCACTCGCGTTCCGTACACGCGAGGGTTTCATTGTATGAATTTAATCTTTAAATAAATGAATATATAATTGTTACAAAAAAGACTTTAAGTGTTATTCACTCCCCCCCCCCCAATATATCTGAAATACTAATCGTCCTACAAATATGATCAAGGCAAAGTATCGCATATCGGAAACCTACGTCGAATTCAATACTGTCCACATAAAATACGTTTTGTTTTGAGAATTATCAAAATCGACATCATTAAAAAAATGAGGCTGCAAATTGGAGAGAAGACGCACAGTATCAAACGAAGAGCATTCGTAGGAACCTTACTTTCGCCAGTGCGTTTGCGTCTATCCGTTTTCTCCGACGCGACTGTGTCCACCAGAAGTAAACGGCGCCGCGACTCGTCGCGCACGAAGTTATCGCACAACCGCGCCTGGACACGATCTGGAGGAAGATACGTATCCCTCCGAACCATGATGCAAGTATAACATGGTGTGCGCAATTGGCGAGTGTCTCTCTCTAAAAATCTGCCGTCGTTGAGATGTCGGGTGGATGAAACTGCTACCAACTGCGAAAAGCGAAACATTTAGCGTCGAGCTGTTGGCATGACATCTATAGTATATGTAACGCAAACTGTAGATTTTCATACCGGCAGTATATATTAAGTTAAATGTATCAAAAAATAAAATATTTTGTACGTATAATAAGACTGTAACTGTTTATCTTACAAATTAATTGTAATGTATAGAAATTTGTATTGCTCCACGGCTTTAATAACGTATATATATTGACGGGACGTCCCTTTTTGGACCGTCCGTCACAAGGGATCTGCGGACCCGACCGCGGGCGGTAGCTTCGAGTCCTGTGTCCTTCCGATTTTCGGAGGCGGACGCGTGGCGCGGGCCGCGGGACTGCGTTTGCGTGGCTCCCGCGCCCGAATACCGATTATCGTTCGTAATTACTTTTTAGTCCGTAGCGACCTCGATTATTTAACTTAACGTATCGGCGACTCCCGGA